ATATAAAAATTAGAATTATTTAAGTTAGATTAGGTAAAATAAATAATAATAATAATATAATAAAAATGTTTCACAAGGCACACATATGAGCAGCTAGTGGGTAATGTAATTTAATATCGTAAGATGACCTCCACGTCCCCAAAGTCATTTACAACTTATAACAGTGCGAATAATAGTTAAACACAGTTCAAAGGTCAATAAAACGATAAAATTTAATTATAAATAAATGTTTTCTGTTACAAGTTTAAAGCTACTTAGGATAAACGATTTTATATATATAGCAAAGCCACATCAGGCTATCTGCTATGCCCACCAAGGAGAATTGAACCCCTGATTTTAGTGTGGGAAATGATAAACGAATGTAGTTTCATGTTACAATTTGAAATCATTCTATAAAGAATAAAAAAAAGGGGGGTAATTTAGTTTTATTTCTATTTTTTTTGGTGGTTATGAGGTCGGTCAAACTAACTAACCTTATATAGAGCTAGGGTAGAGAAAATAACAGATAAAATATAACGTTTTACTGAAAACAAACGTTGAAATGTATTTAGGTTTTAGAGATTACACAAATCAAATCTGAGACTTTCGAGATGAAGAAAAGTATTTTTAATCTTAACACGAAAATCACTTTGCACTTGGACTATTCAAAATAAATACTTGATATATTCACGGACAAATCTTATATTAGTTTATTTAAAATACTTCACTACAAAATATGATTTTATGCTATACTAATTGGTATAAATAAACAAATAGTTTAATTAAATTTTGAAAATAACTTGCTAAAAGACTGTGGCATGCACAGTTAGACCCACCCATTACAAAAGGGTTAAAACAGCATATAGTTAGCACAAGATCAACAACATGTAACGAGCATGAGTTCAATATCATGTTAATACAGAATACGGTAGGCATAAGTTCATCATCACATTAAAATATCACAGTGAGTACAAAAGTAAGACTAAATGTCTGTTTTACTGGCTTTTCATTTGCATCTGAGAAAATGAGAAAACTTATGCAGCATCATTTGTTTTTTATACTTAAAACTTGGTATGAACTTTTAACAACCTATAGGAAACAATACATAGAGTTTTGATCTAACAAAACTTATGAACAATGATGAGCTACCTCTATTCACAAATTACAAACCCAAACAACTATTTAAAACTATCATAACCATCCCAAACAATCAGGGAATTAAGTGTACATTCAATAAACCTAAGAATTAAATGAAAATAAGTTTGGGAAAATTGAGATCTACAGTCACTTTTGACTTTTAGGACAATTTTTGAATATACACATATATGGTCTTTTAGATTATTTAAACTAAACATAAAAATGGCAGCTGCCTATGCAGAATTCATAAATCTCACTTATCTCCAAAAGCCTGCCTTTTCATAACAATATTATTTTCCTACTTTTCTTAACTGAAGCTATGGTTAATTTTCTTCCTTTCATATTTTGAAGTAAACCAAGAACTGGTAGTTTCTATTTTAAAGGATTAGTAGTTAAAGACTGGACAATATACTGTATGTAGCTGTATACTGGAATATCTGTAAATTTACCACCACATACTCATTTTTTAATATATTATAGCTTTGATTTACAAGTGTTCTTAATAAATATATAATGCACAACATTTTAAAATTATACACAGAGTGAGAAACCCATAAGATATGTAAGACATATGTTAAACTTCTAAGCTTTTTAGACACTTGTAACTTTATCTTAAAGTCTTTACCTTTCATACTTTAAATGTTTTAAAAAAAATTGACTTCAATTATGGATAACGGAGTAAAATGTAAAATAATGTACTTTTCTTATTCTTTGATGCACTAAACATTAATTTAGAAATAGAATCAATGTGAGTTTCAACATAATAGTCTATCAATGTTTGCACAGCATTCTTTTGTAAACTGCAAATGTTTCAACACTGAATTTGACAAACAGGTTTTGTGAATCAACAAAACATCATTCCAAACAGTAAACAACACTGTTCTTCTGGAGACCACAACATTAATCTATCCCTAGTATAAAGTTCCAAACTTACCTATAAGAGGATGAAGACATGGTTGTTGGAGAACGTCTTGAATACAAATAATCCGATGATCTGTCTCTCAGGATATGTCTGTCATATATGTCATCTTCATCGAGAGGAGGAGGAGGAGGAGGAGGTAGCCTTCTGTGATATGGGTCATCTCTAGGTGGCGGCGGCGGCAAAGGTCTCCTGTATGGACTATCTCGAGGTGAAGCCATGGTCCGTCGGTAGGCTTCATCCCTGTATGACATGGTAGGTGGTGATGGAGGACGTCTGTCATACACATATGGATAGGGTCTGGGCCTATAGTAAAGATCTCGCCCATAATCATCATAGTATCTGTACTCATAGTATCTGTCCATGTAATAATCTCTTAGCCCATAGCCATTTCTTGGCCCTCCACGCCTAGATAAGAAATTACAGTAAATGTTTGCATTTTATAAAAACTTAATCATAACAAAATATTAAGAAATTATTAGATCGGTTGAAGAACACAGCTTCACAGGCTGATGTTACCTGAAACTCTAGTTACCAATAAATAAATGTATTTATGATATTTTCTGGTATATATCAATAACAACATTAACTCCTTCACTTCCAACCTCCTACTGAAAGGTTTATGTTTTGACAGATAATAAAAGCAGATACATATTTCAACATTTCATTATTAATTTCAAGCTTGAAACTGGTCAACTTTGGGAATATCCTTTCTTCATAGTGATTCAAAATTCCAGTTCTCCAGAGATTGGTAGTGAAAACAATAAACAAAATAAATTTGGATTATCTAAGTGATAATTGTAGGCAGTTTTTAAAAAACATTCAAGTTTTTCACCATATGTACTTAAAGGAACAATATAAGAAACTAAGCTGAAGTTCCTTAACTCTTGCAATCGTTTCAATGTGTGATGTTAGATTACAACCTACTGGCAAAAATAAAACTAGTATCATTGAATTATTCTGAATTTATACATGTTCTATTACTTATATTACATAGTACTGACTTTCCCAGCCTTCATAATTTTTCTGCACAAAAGTATTGATGCACTGATTGAACATTGCTTAGGGGCTAAATTTCATAAAAATGCACAAATTCTTAACTGTCAAGCTAACAAAAGTTCTGTATGAAGACTATAAGAAGAGGAATTTAATAGGCCATATAATTACAAAAAAAAAAAAAAACTTAGGCAGTTTCTAACATATTCTTCATAATTTTTCAATAACAGATTTCAAATCAGAGGTTTTTAACCCTTTCCACACGGTCATGGGTTAAAGGCCATGTCATCGTGTTTGTTGACTCTCATTCAAAATTTTATTGAACTACTATGTTATGAATTAATATCATTAAGTTTGGTACCAAACTGAAGATTATAATTCAAATTTCAGTATTATACATTATTCAATTTCCTAATTAAAAAATAAATATTAAAATAACACACCTAAACATCGATTTTTTGTGTGTCAAATGGTATAATGAATGCAGCATTGGTTCAAATTAGATGTCTGTGATATCCAAATTCAAATTCTATAGTTTGTATGAGTTAAAAACTCAAATTACCAACATTGACAAGCTAGAATATAAAATAAGAACCTCCTATCTTTTCAAGTTGCTGAAATGTTGCTCATGTTCTGAATCAAATGCATTAGCCCCACTCACCTCTTTCCATTTTTGAAAACAGTTCCTTATATATACACATACTTCTGTATATACAGAGGTCAGTAGAGTCTTTAGTTTGCTCGAAATTTCATATTTTTTTAGACCCAAATACAGCTTAGTTATTATGCTTGATAAATTATAGTGGAATTCTATGGTATTGATATAGTAATTTATGATTTTTTGGTTATTCAGAAGGTATATATAAAACCTAAAAAAATTATTTCATTTCACATCCTCCACATGTGAAGTTTCTTAAGGCTCAGCAAGCTACGACAAGTAGCAACCAAGTACAAAGGTTGGAACTAGAAGAGATAATTGTTTGCTTTATTTCTTTATTTACTGTTCTATGTTTCAAGAAAAATAAGTTTAAGAACTTATTTCAAAATAGCAATGATCTATATACATATATGTAATGTATAATAATTGAAATGTGACTGTGTTTTACAAAATACTAGTCCAATAAAACACAGCGAAGACATGTCACTTTGTAGAGACTAAGGGTCAATCTTACATTATGGGATACGGTAACATGAATGCATGTGCACTGCATCATTGTAGCTTCTGTATTGTTAGCCAGGCATGGCTGAAAGGTCAATATAATAAAAATAAAAAATTTATATAAATGTATGATGTCGTGAGAATTAAGGTATTTAGTCTATTTAGTTATTGTGGATATTGTAGGCCCCCTTCCTAGGATAAAAAAAAAGATATAGATTTTTGTTGACAATCTTAGATCAGGCAACTAGGTACCCCAAAGCTATACCTATCAAAAACATTTCTGCTACAACTGTTGCTATAGGATTGATTAATTTTTTCTCGCAATTTGGTTTACCTATGGAAATTCAAAGTGATCAAGATAGTAATTTTTATGTCACAGGTTTTCCAGGAAATCATGACAAAATTAGGCATCAAGGCACTTAGGTCTACAAGCTACTGTCCTCAGAATCAGGGAGCACTTCAACGTTATCACAAAGTTTTGAAAAAAGGGCTCAGGACTTTTTGTTTGGAGCACAAAAAAGACTGGAACTTAGGGACACCTTTATTTTTGTTTACCACAAGGGAAATTGCTATTGAGTCAGTTGGAATCACTAGTTTTGACATGATCTTTTCTCACAATGTGAGAGAACCTTTGTTGTTGCTCAAAGACAGCTGATTGGAAAATGAGGGAGACCATTCTAATATCCTGGATTACATTTCAGATTTTAATGAAAGATTGAATGCAGCAGTGGACACAGCTAAAAAAAATTTAGAACTCTACTTACTGTGCAGAAAGTAAATCTACAGTCTGGCAGATAGAACCATTGGTATATCCTCTCCCAGAAACTTCTCAGTCAGGAGTATAAAGACAATAATTGAAAAAACTGTTTCTTTAACATTATTAAGTTTCTACTGGAAACCATTGAAACCATCTTCAAAGACAGATGTAAGAACTCCAAAAGCAAATATTCTTTATAACATTTGAATAGTGGCATTATCTCAAGCATTGAGTCAACAACAACAGTAAACTCATAAAGAAAAAAAATTAGCAGATAACACAGTCAAAAGTATAATGGCACTAACCTCAAAGGTCCACCACCTTCAGTTCTGGCTCGTCCTGGGGCACCAGGCTCTGGATGTAGCTTGCTTGTGGAGGGCTGAGAAGAAAGTATAAAACAAATAATTTACTCCCAAAATTATTCTGAAAAAGAAAAGCATGGAAAGCTTAGTGATTTTTTTTTAAAACAACTGTACTTACACAAAATATAAGCATCACAGATGAATCTCTAATGTTTGATTTTCTTTACAGCAGGTAATGCACAGGCCAAACTATAAGAGTAACAGTATTTGTGGTTCACTGTTTTAGTCACAGGATCTACCAAGTATTTTGTGTATGAAACTACAGTTCATTAACCCTTCCATTGGGGGCTGGGTGGAATCCACTCAGCCTGTAATCACACAAATATCCATGAGAGTAATTATACTATGATTTTTGATAATGTATGCACACCTTTACAAAATGTTGCAGGTTATTGGTAAACATTACAAGGTCTTTGTACACAAAATATCAGGTTTTTAAATTAAGATAAATTTCTCATAAATATTTTTCTGTCAGAAGTTGACTATCCAACATGCAAAGCAATTTTGATTTTAAGATTAAAAATACTTTAATGAATTAGAACATTTTCAAATTTCACATGCAAAATCTTTATAAGCTCCAGATAATTATGAAATTTCTTTTAGAAAAACTTTATATTTTATTTGTTATTTTCACTACTGTATTTCTATACAGGTTGGTTTGATTTGACCAACTTCGTAACCTCACTAAAAAATTAGGGAAAAAATATAAATTATGCTTTTTTTGTTCTTGAATGACTACAAATTATAAACACGAAAAAAAATATGTTTAGTATAAATAGTTTAAATCTCATAACATACATTTATATATATATATATTTATTATTTTTATTATATTGACCTTCCAGCTGTGCCTGGCTAACAATACAGAAGTTACTATGATACGGTGCACATGCACTTGTGTTATCATATCCAATAATATATAAATGACTTTTAGTCTTTACAAAGTGATCTGTCTTGGTTGTATTTTAGTGAACTAGTATTTTGTAAAATACAGTCACATTTCAATTATTATACTTTATATATGTATATAGATCATTGCTATTTTGAAATAAGTTCTTAAACTTATTTTTCTTGAAACATAGAACAGTAAATAATGACTCAGTACTTTGAGTTCCTAATCTATATATGAAACGGTAGACTTAGTATTTTGACATCACAAACATCTAATTTGAACAAGTGCTGCATTCAACATACCATGTGCCACAGAAAAATCTATGTTTAGCTGTGTTTTTTAATATTTAATATTTATTCATTTTAAAAGTAAATTTTATATCAGACCTGAGGTGATTCATATTTTCAAAAAATATTTCAAAATCAGAGAATTTGTTCCATAATAAACAATATAAAATCTTTTTCTTTTTCAATTTTGCTTTAATTAACCAATATAGCCTGCATTCAAAATAATAAACTGTTGAAGGTTTAAAAATATCCTATCACAAAAGTGGCTTAAGTTGAAGCCATTTCTGTTCCCATTGATTTTTCCAGATTTTGTAGATATACAAAGCGTGGGCAGAAGTAAATAGACACCACCTTTTCAGAAACAATGAAATTTTTCAGTCATATTCACATGAATTGATATATTTATAATTTAATTAATATCTATTAGAACTTCCTTTCGCTTCGTGGAGTTCGTTGATTCTTTGGGGCATCGTGAGAATCATCTCATCAATTTCAGATTGTGGGATTTTCTCCCACTCTTGCTTCAAAACTTGGAGTAGATCGCTCTTCAAAGTTGGTTTTTTTGGTTGTTTCTTGACTTGCCAGTCGAGTATGGCCCAGAGGTTTTCGATGGTGTTCATGTCAGGAGATTGGCTCAGCCAGGGCAACTTCTGGATACCATTTTCTTCCTGCCACTTTTGGGTGTTTCAAGCAGTGTGACACGGTGCTCCATCTTCCTGGAACAACTTGACTTGCTCAGCCAGGGCAACTTCTGGATACCATTTTCTTCCTGCCACTTTTGGGTGTTTCAAGCAGTGTGACACGGTGCTCCATCTTCCTGGAACAACGTTGTGTTCTTGTCCACGAAACCCGAGGAATAAAGTGGCAAGAGTCTTTCCTCCAATATTTCGACGTATTTCGCAAAATTTATGTTGCCAACGCACTCCACTAAGCTCGATCCCACCAACCCAAACCATCACGCTAAAACCACCATGCTTCACAGTTGGCTGCAATCTGTTGAGCCAAAACTCTTGGTGAGGCATTCTCCAGACCCATATCCTTGCACTGTCAGAAAATTGAGTGAATCTTGATTCGTCTGAGAACAATACAGTCTTCCAAAAGTCCGGAGGCTTGGTCATCATATCACTTGCCCACTTCTTTCGTCTGACTATGTTAGCAGCTCTTAATAAGGGCTTCTGTCTAGCTGCTCTGCAACGATAACCCAATCTGTGGAGAATCCATTGAACAGATTTCGGGCTCATCCCACCAACTTTGACCACTTCTGCAGTCGTTAATCT